TATTCAATTATAATGATTTGATCTTTGGAATATTTACAATTAGAGATATACAATCTGAATAAAAATTTATTTCTATATGATCAAAATTTTCGCGCTTTTTCTATTTCATCAATCAAAGAAGAAAAAACGAAACGAAAAAGTTATTTTAATGTTGACAAAAACGTTTTCCTGGATGTTGTGGACATTCTTGTCGAAGTTTTTCTTTTATTTTCTTAGCTAAATCTTCTAATTGTTGTTGATTAATTTTTGTTTTATTTAAATCACCATATAATTCTTTAAATTGTTCATCAAATAATTCTTCCCATTTCTTATCTTTTTCTTCTTTTCCATCAGATTTTTTTTCACAACAACCCAGTTTATCGTGCTGTTTTTTATCAAATATTTTTATCATTTCCCAAGCTTCATCTGCATTGATTTTATTTGTACCATATTTTGTTTTAAATTCATTCATAAATTCATGTTTTATATTATCATCTATCAACGATGGTCCACCACCATGTGATGGACGCATTTTATTTGAAATATTACGAAGGAGATCACGTGCTTGATTAGCATTTAATTCTTGAACATTCAATTTAGTTAATTCATCTTTGATAGACGTTTGAATATAATTGTCGATTTGTGTATGCCATTGTTCTTTTGCTTGACTACCAAATGATAATAATGTTGATTTAGCTTGTTCTTTTGTTATTGTATCTGAACTAATTTTATCTAATTCAGATTCTAATAATTGAGTTAATTTTTGTTTCATTTCGTCGCGTATTGGACCAGGACGATTCATTCCACCACGACCACGATTACCACTACCACGACCCATTCGAAATTCTTCTAAAGCTTGTTTCATTTTTTCTTTAGTAATCGCTGTTTGACCATTAAAAATTCGTTCAATTTCATCTTCCATAAATCGATTCGATTCGTTCGACATTTTTTTCGAAATAAAACAAAAGAAAATGAATAAAATAAGTTTTTAAATACTCTTAGTTACATAATTAATTTTTGCGCATAGATAGTTTCAATAATTATTTACACAATGTACAATTATAGTATTGAGAGAGATTGCAAAGAAGTGTTTATAATCATATGTATTGAAATATTTTTACAGCATAATTTCGTCAATAACAGGTGTTTGTTTTATCAAAATATCTCGTATTTCTAATAAAACTTTTACTTCATTACTTAATTCTTGTTTCTTCATCATTCCTTCTTCTAATTGACGTTTAATCGCTAATCCATGTAGTTTATTCATTGATTTAATAATAAAAAATAAAACAAGTCCTATAATAAGTAAATAAATAAGCTCTTGAATAAATTTTCCATAACGAATAACAACAGGTGGTTGATCTTGATATACAAAATTATGCATTTCTACTGTTAAATCACGAAAATCAACACCACCTAAAAGAAGGCCAAATGGTGGTGTTATAATATCTTCAACAAGAGATTTAACAACATTAGCAAATGCAGTACCAATTATGATACCTATAGCCAATTCAAATACATTGCCTTGTAAAGCAAATCTATTCAAATAATAAATTGATATATTGAGAAAAAAAGCTACAATTTTATATACATACTCTTTGAATTCTTTACAAAATTTTTTACAAAAATTACATGAATTTAGTATTTTCATCTAGTACAGTTGATCAAATTTATTGAACTACATACTAATCTATAACTTTTCGATATGCTACTTAATGATATGTATATATAAAAAACAAATATTTATAACTACTCATTTTACATAAAAGAACATCTTTTGATCAACGATTATTCTTATATTTACATTAAAGTATTAGACAAATCAATATGAAATCTTTCAAGTATCATTATACTCTTTTCTTTATTTGAGATAAATATTCAATTAAATATAAGAAGGATAAAAGTATCAAAGTTAATTATTATTGTCATACAATAATCACATTATTGCTATTCAAAACGTTTTTTTTTGTGAAAATCAAATGTTTATAATGTTTTGTTTTTTATTAAAGATCTTGAATTTGAATCGTTTTACGAGCTAATAAATCGCGAATTTCATGTAAAGCTTTAACTTCATCACTGTATACTTTGGCAGCAACTACTTCTACATCAACCTTCTTTTTTAATGCTATTTTATGTAATTTGTTCACTAATTTAATGATAAAAAATAATACGAATGCCACTATAATTAAATAAATTATTGTTTGAAGAAATTTCCCATAACGAATGACAACAGGAGGTTGACTGGTATAAACAAAATTTGGAATTGAAACTGTTAAATTAACAAAATCAACACCACCTATAAGTAAACCAAGTGGTGGAGTTATTATATCGTTAACAAGTGATTGAACAACATTTGTAAACGCTGTACCAACAACAAGTCCAATTGCTAAATCAAACATATTGCCTCGTAAGGCAAATCTAATAGAAATAAACAAAATTATTCTGGAGAATACGAAAACTATTATACATACGCTTGAAATTCTTTACAAAAATTGAAACAAGCTCCACAACAACGCGGCATTTTGATCTAAAATATAGAGCGGATTAAATTTCTTTTTCATTGTTTCTTTTCTTCATGAGTGCAAAAAAAGTAATTAGAAAATGTGTTTAACTAAAATTCTATAACAATAACAATCAGCTGCATGTAATATATATAATTTACGAACGACATATTGTATGTTTGAGAAAAGAGTTTGTTTCCATTGACAATAATTGATCTGTTCAACATGATGAAGTTAACTGTTTCGCTTGAATATATTTTGCTCGTTATTTAAAACTATCTTACAAAAATGAATTTTTTATTGTCAAACAAAATATCAAATGTTATAAATTCTCATAGAATGATATTGTCTTTTTGAGAAAGCTGAAAGAAATAACATTTCAACAAATACAACAGTCACAAAAATTATCGTACCCAAGTGAAAAATATTCAAATTCTAACCATTTGGGGTCATATTTTTATTATGAATAGAATTTTGTGAATCCTGACTACAAGCATCAGCCTGAATTCGATTACTTAATGTATATTAGAAATAGTACTAAATGCAGTATCGTAACTAAAGATTTAATATATTTTTAAGCGTATCACACTACTCTAATTAATGAAAAAAAGTAATGAAACTGTCAGTGTCGAGAATTAACTAATTGCATCGTAGATTTATTTTTTTACCTATATGATACGTATAGTTGTCAACGGTAAAAAAACAATTGACAGTTTTATATAACTAAAACCTAGAAAGAACATCTTTCAATGCTAGTTTATCAAAACTTTCAAATACAAACTTGTTTTCAACTAAACTGATGAAGGTATATCAAATAAATACTGAGATTTCTTTATTTTAATAACTTGGAAACGTTGTGGTGTTTTTCTCGACTAATTCTTACCGACATTGTTTTCTCGCTATCCTTTATAATCTATAGTAACAGTTATAAACTTATTTCTTCTTTAGCTGACTGGTAAACAAGAAAGCATATTCACTGAAAAGAAGAAAAAAAAGTTCTGAAACAGCGAACATAATTACTCGTCAGCGTTTTCAATTCTCTAACTGAAAATATCGTATTATTTGACAGGCATTTTTTTTCTTTTTTTCTTTTCTTTCCGGTACGACCGCGTTCCAAACGTGTGTCTGAATAAAATCTAATTACATAGTAAACAATATAAATGATAAAAATACTACAACAAAATGAATTTTGATGTATCTATTATTTATTACACATATATGTATATTGATAGAACTTAACAACATATATTTTTTCCACTAAAATAATTTCATTAGAGTATATCAAGACTTTCCAATTGTGTTAGTTAATGAAAGGAAAAAAATGAGATAACTACATCTTGAGAAGGGTAGAAAATCTTCTACTTCAAAAAAGTAAGTAACACGATTTCTTTCGATATTGAATAACGAACATCAAAAATTTAACAAAGAGGTTATCGATGGTTGTCAATGATATCTACAATAAAATAGGAGATCATTGAACTATTCAAATTTAATTCATGATAAATATTTTGTTGACGTACAGGTTTCCAAAATAAAATTATACTATGAAATTAATATATATCTTCTACTTCTGTATAAAGTTCTCTTCTCATCAGCTCGCTTACTTTGTGATTGCATGTTATCAATTTATTTTTAGTCTTCTTTGGAAAACTAAAAATAAATAATCAACGATTCTAGAGATTTAGAAAAGACAGTATCCTGCATTTTTGCAGATAGTCTTTAACATGCTAATGTGATATCGATATGGCATGAATATAATCACAAAAAATAAAACTAGACATGTTCAACAAAGATTGAGGTACTTCATAATTACTGCCAGAAATTAATCTATAATAATGGAATCTGATACAGTAAATATTTTTTCTTTTGTAATAAATCAGAATTTTTTGACATATTTAATTTAGATTTATGATGATGTTGAAGAAACATTTTTTAACTCTCCTGATTATAAATAAACAAAGAATAACACTGATATATAGGATGTGGTTGTGGATAAGTGAATTTGGAGTAATAACCACACGTCCACCTACACCCGTTGGCAGATAGAACTAAATAGCCAGTAAGAAAATTCTTCTTCTATGAACTGTACAAATAAAAATATGACAATTATCTATTTCAAATATAGTTAATGAATAACTGAAATATCCTTTGAAAGGAAGGTATTAATTAATAAAAAATTCACATTATATGCATCTGACTAGATATTGTCTTCTTGTACAATAATTGATTGAGTTGTCACTTTATATAAAATAGATATTAAGAATGGAATGCAAGACAGTTCTCTTGTACTTTATTTGATTTCTTCATCGATATATTATTAATTTTCTTATGAATGAATAATAAGACATATAATAGCAAAAGATAATTATGTATATAGAAATTTTATTGAATTTAAATATGAGATTTATTGAAAAAGAAAAAAAAATAGTACTATCAATAGCAGAAATCATGCAGATTCAAATTTCATATTCATCCTACATCGATAGTTTATTTTATAAAACGCTATGAAAAGAATTTTAGTCAATGAAAGTTCATTAGAAAAATTGTTATTAGTAATGATATGAATAAGCTGGCACTTGTCAGGAGTGATGCTTTTGATGGTGTTGTTGGCGGACTATTTGTAGGCTGCGTGGTCGTTGGTGGATTCGTTGTAGACTGTGTGGTCGTTGTTGGATTAGTTGTAGACTGTGTGGTTGTTGGTGGATTAGTTGTAGACTGCGTGGTCGTTGGTGGATTAGTTGTAGACTGTGTGGTTGTTGGTGGATTAGTTGTAGTCTGCGTGGTCGTTGGTGGATTAGTTGTAGACTGTGTGGTCGTTGGTGGATTATTTGTGGACTGCGAACTTGTTGATGTTTGCGGATTAAAAGGACTTAAATCACCTATTACGACAGTGAGGTTAGATTTAAGCTAAAATATTTAACAGTTTTAAATCATTTTTTATTTTATTATCATTCAATGACTTACTTCAGTAAATATTTCTGGTCGAGAACAATCATCAGCTCGACAATAAATATCAACTTCCCACAATTCAACACTAAGTGGTTGTTTATTAAGATATATTAAACCTTCGATTTCCACTCGATGTGTATCAATATGAAAATTATCGGAATCAGGTGGAGCACAAAATGATTGATAACATTGCAAATCATCATTTGGTTTATCAAATGTATCGAGAACAAGACATGTTGTATTACATTCCTTAGTAGGACAATGGCTTGTATCGAGATAATCACTGTGACCACATTGAGGTCCATCAGGACATTCATGACAATTACGAACTGGTTGTCCAGAACCTTTAACATTTGTATTTAACCAATCTTCTGGAAGACGCATTTGAAAGCTATTTGGCATAGATGGTATGAGACTTGGATGATTACATAAATCATAATTACATCCATAAACAACAAAATTTGTTACTGTAACCCATCGCATTAGTTGTTCATCATATAAAATTGATTCTTCAACAAGTAAATAAGGAAAGTCTTGGATATGCACACGGGTTAAATCTTGACCAATATGTCCTAAAGAAGTCCAAACATCTTGACCATAGTTCTGACGCATAATCATACAATAAGTTTGATTTGCGGCCATAATTGTCGTTCTTTCACAAATACAGCTAGGTTGATTATGACAATAGCAATCATAACATCGACGTTGTGGAATATTTGGATCATGTGTTTCAGTAAATAAAGCAGCAAGAGTACCTGGTACTACACTTAAGTTTTCACGAAGTTCTTTAAATATACCAGGACGTGAACAGTCATTAGCACGACAATAAATATCTATTTCCCATAAGTGAACAAAATTTTGTTGACTGGCATAAACAATACCTTCAATTTCTACTTTATGGCGATCTAATTGATAATATTGTGTATCGGGTGGAAGACAAAAAGATTGATAACATAGATAATCATATGCTGGATCTTCATAAGTATCCAAAACAAGACAAGTAGTATTACATGATTGAATTGGACATGTATTAGCATCAAGAAAATCAGCTGTACCACATTGAGCTCCTTCTGGACATTGATGACAATTACTAACTGGTTGTCCACTACCTAGAATACTTGAATTTAACCATGCTTCTGGAAGACGCATTTGATAACTATTTGGTAAAAGTGGTATAAGTTCAGGTTTGTTACATAAATTCCAATTACATCCATAAACAATAAAATTTGTTGTAGTGAACCATAGACCAGTTTTTTCATTATAATCAATTGATTCTTCAACAAATGCATATGGAAATTCTTCAATATACATAAGTGTTGCACTAAGTTCAAGATAATCTGCATAAATATAAGTTTGTTGACCAAAATTTTCACGTACAATAACACAATAAGTATAATCAAGTGAACTTACGACGGTTGATGAACATGGACATGTTGGCTGATCAAAACAATCACAGCTGTAGCATCTCAAAGGATTTGGTATTGGTGTAGTTGTAGTAGGTGCTTGTGTTGTTAATGGTCGAGTAGGTGCTTGTGTTGTTAATGGTCGAGTAGGTGCTTGTGTTGTTAATGGTCGAGTAGGTGCTTGTGTTGTTAATGGTCGAGTTGGTGGATATGCTGATAAATCACCAATTTCAAGTGTAAGTTGTTGTGATATTTCTTGAAAAATAGTTGGTCGGGTACAATTATTAACTGCACAATATACATCTAATTCCCAAATATCATATTTTGAACGATCTTTTGCTAAATAAACAACTGCTTCAATATCAATTCTGTGTTTACCACCATAAATTTCAGCATTTGCTCCATTCAAATATTCTGGTGCACATTGTGATTGATAACATTGTTCACCCGTAGCAACATTATTCCATAAACCATAGGCTAAACACTAAAGAAAAAAAAAAGTTTGAAAAAATAATCAAGAAATAGTTTTTAATAATTATTAGCTCATATTACCGATGTTACATTAGTGTTACAAGTTACCATTTGACATTGATCAAAATCACTCGGATTTGTTGCATCACCACATACTTCTGTATCACAATGATGACAAGAAGTAACAGAACCAGTACCATAAATATTTGAATTTAGCCAAGTTGAATTAATATTATACTTGAATGAATTAGGCAATGAATTGATAAGACTGGGAGAATTACAAAGATCCCAATCACATCCAAATAAAACACTAATTGTCCATAAATACCATTGTCTAGTTGTTAGATTATATCTAATAGATTCTTGTGTAAGAACATAATACGGATCTTCAATATAAACCCAACTTGAATTGCGAGGGATTCGACTTAATTGAACATATGTATTACCAACATATCTTTGTTCCAGGATAACACAATAATCATTATCAGTTATATCACTTGTAGTATCACAATTACACGCAGTTGTATCACTCTGATTACATCCACATTCATAACATATAAGACTATTACTAGGTACTATTGACAACAGCAATAGTAGAACAAAACCTTGAACGATCATCATACACTATGATGGATACAAACTAAATAAAATATTTTAACCGTGATTTCAAATGAAAGATTACATATATATATACATCCTACGCTTCTTTTCCTCCTGTATTTACAGTTAATAAATTCATAAAAGATATTTTTGATAATCCACTTAGAATTAACGATAGCATAGATCATATAAAACTTTAAATCAATTGTAAAAGATTTATCTCTAACTTGTTGTAACAACGGTATAGACTTTATAAGTAGCAACAATATTCGTATTAGTAACTACACTTATCGAACGTATTTTTTTTACCATTGTACAATATTTACTTTTTCCTATTCTATACATTTATAATTTAAGAACAAAAAGCTTGAAGAAATTTTCAACACTTTATTTTCAGTAACATTTGCCAAATATTTTATCAACTTTTCAATAAAACCTTGCCTATATAATTTTTTATGTTCGAATATCAAATGAAAAGATTTGATAACTATTTCCTCGTTAAAATAATAATGTAGATTATTTTCTAAATTAATAATTAACAGTAATACTATTTCGTTAAAAATTATATGAAATACTAAGATTCTTTTTTTCTCAATTACTTGACATTCACCAAATATATTTGGTTGCTGCACAATCACAATAATGAGGGTGGGTGTCGTTGTACATTATTCTATCCACACCCTCTTTTCATTACAAATCTTTTATTTGATAAAATATACTGCATTTTTGAGTTGAATATACAGAAATTCACATAATTAAGAGAAAGAGTAAATTTGCATAATATTCAGTTTAATTTTAGATTCTACAGGGTTTTTGTTTTACAAAAATAAATCTCTGAATGTTTATTTGAATTTGATAGTAGAAAATGTCGTTGGTTTCAAGAAAGTATTCAAC